TGCAAGTTATGCCACTAATAGAGTAGGTGACCTTGAAATGTCCAAACTTGTAGTGGCCTTTCAAGCTCCTTGGAATATTTCCCATCCTCTTAGTGCCCAAAGGTTAAATGCAGCCCTCCAAATTGCCATTGACAGAGTCAACAGGGATCCATCTTACATAGGCAACTACAGCTTGGAGTTTGTTTATGCTGACTGTGGCTGCGAGGCCAAGAAATCCCTTCAGTCTTTCATCAACCAATACCAAAAGGAACACATCTCTGCTTTGTTTGGACCTGTTTGCTCAGAAGCAGCTGAGGTAGAGTATGAATTCTTCTTTTTGTCAATTGTGTCGGCTTTTAAACTGAACATTTTCTTTAATGTGCAGCTGCCTTTAGATTACTTTCACATCTATAGTTCTATATGGGCTAATGGCCTTGCTCAAGATTTTTTTCTTCATAATGGTACAGGGCTGCTAGTGATGCAGATATCATTACATTAATAATTTTTGTGTAGCGTAATCTATGTTAGATACTTCAAAAGAAAGAATATAGGTCAAATAGATTCAGGAGTCCCAAGCATAAAATCAGCCTAGCTAATATCCATTAAGATATATATAACTGCCTTGAAATAATCTAATAGAAAAAGTACCAGCAACTACCCATTGTCCAGTTAATTTGTCTTGTCTCCCAGCAGGAGAAAACGTAGGATACCACTAAGCATTCCCTGATCTCTTTGGTTATTCCTTTGTCGGTTCTCTCTTTTTCCAGGACCTTACCTTACTTTTTAATTTGAAACAAAGCCATATTTCTGTCCTCAAAATCAAAGAAATGAGTTTAGGTTCATCTTTTAAAAGCAGGTTCTAGATTTCATTACATGACTGGAGTTCACCTCAGAAAATTAGCTGTTCCAAAGGTGCTGCAATCAGGGGCACACTGAGGAAAACTTTCCTCCCAACATCCACTGTAACTCAGACAACACTGATAATGTCTCAACAGTATCTGTACTGCAAGCTGACTTATTAGTTCTACACCAGAGCGAATAAAACCCATTCAATACTTCTGTATGCATTGCTATATTTATTATGCTTTAAACCCACACATGCAAACTGGTTATTTTTGGAAATCTAATATCTAACTGTGGACCTTTGAACCTTGAAATCTCTTTGCTGCCTGTCCTACTGAAATCTATGATGCATCTTTCAAAAATGTATTTGGAGGAATGCAGTAGCTGCTGTTAAAATTTTACCTCAGTGAATAGCAGTCACAGTCTCCAGTCTCATGGTTAAGCCCAGTGTGGACACCTGTTGGCTTTCACAGATCACCATGCTGAATTTAGTGTGTGGATGGAGGCTATATGTAACAGCTTCACAACGTAAACATGCATATGAACAGATCACTGCTACAGGATGTCTGAACCTAGGGCTAAAGGGGTGTCTGAATTGTACCTAGGCTGCTTCCCATAAGGAGGTTTTTCTCTGCTTTGATAATCAAACTGGTTCATGTTCTCACTACATTTCCATTTTTTGTCTCACAGGTATTGCACTGATGTTACTCACTCTTTTCCCCCTCTAGTCTTTGAAAGCTGGCATTCACACAGTGAAAAGACCAGATCTTGGTGCTGAGGCTACAACCTATTGTCATTGTTATGGCTTAGTCTTGGAATATGGGAGATGAGATATTGATATGTTTTTTCTTAGAGGAGGGTTATTGGGGGATATTAAGTATTTTAAGCCACGTTGAGCTATGGAGAAAGGCAGGATAGAAATATTTTAATTAATAAATAAGTGAACTCTCTAGTTCAGTGCTGCTGCTACTAATGCAAGCCTGTACAACATAGATCTTTCAGACCGAATGCAAATCCATGTTCCTTAGTACCTCATCCTCAGTATATGCTGCTTGCCTATTAGGAGTGCCCAAAGGAAATCAGTAAAAGGTTGCTGAGGAAACCAGCTGCAAAATATCATCGAAGAGCTGTTTCCCGAGGTCTCATGCACCTCTAGTTTTATACTCTGCTTTATATCCTGTTAAAAACTCATCAATGCTATTACACTTAACCATGCCCTGAGAGTTCGATCTCACAAGACAGAGTGATGGAGAATTACTTGGGCTACCCCGTATCAACAGAAAGACCCATCTGGGTAATAGTATTCAGCAAACAAACAAAAAGGTCTCTGTGAACATTTCATAGGTAATCCACAAAGATGATCAAGGGCAAGATGGTGAAAGATGGAGTTATTTCCTCAGAAGTGGATTGGCCAATACCATCACTTTGCATACACCTGACACTTGCTACCTATTTATAAGAACACCCATGAAATGACAAAAGCTGATTAGAAAGAAGGCCTTGGTTAGCATGAAGGACTCAAGCATAGTTAATTATTTCATCCAGACTTCAATCCCAAACCCCCAGTTGTGTAACTTTCACCCTGAAAGTGTTATGGGTTTAAGAAAATTAGTGACAAGAATGCAACTCAATTGAATTAGGTCCTGTGGCAACAAGATATGTATGATAATCCACCCACATGTGTATAACCTATGCTAGGAGAATGATGGGGCAGAACCAGTTTGAAAGCATAAATACCAGGGAGAGACTGTCTTCCCAGGTTGCACCCTATGAGTGTAGGAAGCAGTTCTGTGTAAAAGAATGCATGAAGTTCTTTCTGCCAGTATCAAACTTTCCTGGACATTGACTACTTGGGCATACTGTTTTTGCTCATCTGATGGGCAGAGGATAGGGACAGAGTGTGTATACATGTTGTGCGCCTTGTGGGCCTTTCCAAGCAATCCCATCAGTAATAACTCCACTTGTAGTACCACTAGCAATCCCATCAGTAATAAAGTCAGTTCTATACTGACCGCATATCCAACATTTTGAATTTTGTAAAGTTTGATTAGTTTTAAAAGGCAGTGTACGAATGGTAGAGCATTTTGGAACAATGTAGAGAAGTATTTTCTCTTAAAGTAATAGATACAGCTCCAGGTGGCTGTCTTGTAAAGAGACCACATTGATTTGGTAACTGGGACTTCTAGCATTTTTTTTTCATGAACGATACTAGCACTACATGAATCATTCAAACTTACGAGACATTTGACAGGAGGATGGCACTTTTCCTGTTTAACAGCCTTTGAATCATTAATATTAATGCTGTTTTAGAGGTGCCACTCAGCTAAAAGTGGTATTTGAAAGTGGTGAAGACATTATAGGATTTTGTTCCTCATTCTCTAAAATATCTTGCATTGACTGTTTTGGACCATATGTTTAATAATGCTATCTAGTTGAAGTCAATGGACTTAGAATAGTGTAACTGTTTAGGACTGCTCTGTAGCTGATGCCTGGGATCATCCCCAACTGAGAAGATTTCTCTTCAGGACAGTGCCATAACAATAATTGTTACTCTAGATAACTAGTATTGAGCAATGCATTGGTTTTCGACAGTTTTTAAAATATCCATTGTCTTTAATTTATAGAATACCATGGAGAATAAGATAGAGACTACTTTGTATCATTCTATACCAAGGGTTTCCCACATCAGAATATTACCACAGAATAAGCATTTTAATGCAAGCAGCATAACACGACACTACTATTTGGAAAAGCATATGTGAACACACAATATTTTTACCATCTCTCTACAATTTCTCTAACACTTTGAACAGTGAACAGGGAAAGAATGTGGCAACAGGTCCGGTCTCCAGCCTGTGCACTGACTATAGGGGCTGATCAGCCTATGGATCTGATTGTAGTCTTGCCATTCCCCCTGGCTGGGTTTAGCCGTAGAGTTTTGTCCAAATGCCAGAATGTCCGTGGTAACCCCCAGTGATACATCAATGTCACTTCTGGTCACACAGGGAGTGATGTAGTTATATTGCTGGCAAGGGCCATTGCCGCTGGTAAGTTCTCCTGCTGGTTGCCAGGACTTGCCTGGAAACCCTAGCTGATTGATATATGGAGATTTAGCTTAGAGACTGTCACAGTGGTCCTGACCCTCTGCTCCATGTGTTGAATCTACCTGCTTTTTGATTGTCTGAAAAGGGCTTTTTGTTCTTCAAACAAAAACATAAATTCAGTCACAGGTAACACCTATTCCAACTACCTCACAGTATTCACACCAACTCTAGCATAACTGTACATGGATTTCCAGCAAAGAAAGAAATCTAATATTTGACAAAACCCCAAAGGACATTTTCTCTCCAGCCACTCACCAGTTTCAGAAGAATATCTTTGTTTCTCTAACCTTCAGGCAACACAACAGAACTTTCTCCTCTCTATTCCTATCTTCTTTAGTTGTAACCTTTATATCTGTGGAAGCAACACCCTCCTATGGTAATAAAAGTTTACTGTACCTCTCCATTGCCAGTAACATAGCTGCTCAACCCACACAGGTAAAACTTTCAAACCAATTCATCCCTTATGAGGCATATCTTCCTCATTGTACCTCAGTGGGGTACAATGCCAGAGTCCACCTTCCAAAGCATCCATTGATGGTTTATGAGTTATTCACAACTTTCAGTTACATTTGTAGTTACAACATTTCAGGTAAACTCTAGTCAATTATTCCAGAAAGAAATGTCTGAGGTCCAGGAAATAAAATGGATCACATACAGATCTCACAGCCTTATGAAAAATCTACAACCTTAACCAGGATAAGAGCTGACTAGAAGGATATGAATATTTATATCTATACTCTACCTTTCTATTCTCATTAGGCCACCAAAGTGGCTAACAAACAATAAAAACAGTTCTTCAAAACCATTAAAACTAAACAAAAACACATCATTAAAACAATGAAAACCAAGTTGTACACATACAAAAAACCCCAATTAAAAGTAGGGTAGAAAGTAGGGATCACTGGGGTATAAAGCAGGGATCACTGAGGAAATGCCAGACTTCCCCCGTAAAAAAATAGTCTTCACCTGATGGTGGACGATGACAACAGAAGGGGACAGAGGAGTCTTCCTTGGAAAGAGTTCCTGAGTTTTGGTGCCGTGACCAAGAAGGCCCTCTCCTAGGTTGCCACCCACCTAATCTCAGAAGGCCTTGGAATATGACTGTAGCAGATGAGTAGGTTTGTAAGGGAGTAGGTTGTCCATCAGGTACGCTGGTCCTTAGCCAGATAGGTCAACAGCAGCACTTTGAACTAAGTCCAGAAACAAACTCGACCCAGTGTGGATGGGCCCACACCTGCATAAGAACATAAAGAGAAGCCAATGGTCCATCCAGTCCAACACTCTGTCACACAGTGGCCAAAACCCAGGTACCATCAGGAGGTCCACCAGCAGGACCAGAACTCCAGAAGCCCTTCCACTGTTGCTCCCCAGCACCATGAATACAGAGCATCACTGCCCCAGACATAGTGTTCCAGCTATATATTGTGGCTAATAGCCACTGATGGACCCCTGCTCCTGAAGTGATATGGTCCCTATGACCTACTCCAGTCAACATCCTGGCTATAGCATTCTGTACCAATAGAAATTTCTGAATATTTTTCAAGGCCTACCTGACCCCTGTCTTACACTTTACCCCACAAAGTGTATCATTTCAAGTAGCACAGAGATCATAGCCACCTTGGATGTCTACTAAACAAGATATCAGAATATTAAGTTGTCTTGTTGTTTGGAATACGGACACTGCTGAAGCCACATTCTACAGAGTATTTAGCATATTGACTAATCCAGCACTGCCAACAGCACAGACTGAAACTGAACTGCCATTTGTTCATCTTGTGAAGCCACAGATAGATCTTATTTATAAAGCCAGTTTGGTGTAGTGGTTAGGAGCGTAGACTCTAATCTGGGAGAACAAGGTTTGATTCCCCACTCCTCTACATGCAGCTGCTGGTGTGACCTTGGGTTAGTCATAAATTCTTTCAGAGCTGTTCTCTCAAGGGCAGTTCTCAAGAGAGCTCTCTCAGCCCCACCTACCTCACAGGGTGTCTGTTGTGGGGAGAGGAAGGGCAGGGAGATTGTAAGCCACTCTGAGACTCCTTTGGGTAGTGAAGGGTGGGGTGTAAATCTCTTCTTATTCTTGTATTCTCTGACTGTCCTTTACTTGGGTCTATTGATTTCCAGCCTTTGGAATCCTGCCCCCTCCCCCATGGTGGGCATCAGGCCCAGTTATATTAGCCCCTTCAGGAACTGAAATTGTCCATTAGATTCTGCTTCTTTAGCCAGTTCTCTGCCTAGATCTGCGAGCTGCTAAGTAGGAAGAATAACATCCATTTGGGTGTGTTGAGGAGGTGACACAATCTGGAATACCTAAACAATTTGAGTTTAGAGATTGTAGGTGGCAACAGTGAAGAAGGGGTGGTTTTACAGATAGCATCTTGAATAATAAAACTGGATTGAAGACATTTCAAATAGACCAGTGAGATAAGTGAAAGCTTCTTCCATGTTCCAGAAAGTTTAGCTTACCTCAAACCTATCAAAAACAAATACATGCTGTGCAAACAGTACTACGAGGATATCAACAGATCCATCCAGTATTGTTTCCCCCAGCCAAACATAGAAAGTATCTACCATCCAGACTAGAGATACCCTTTTTCTTGAAAATATTGTTATGAGCTTGGCTGTCAAGTTAGCATTACTGCCTCTTATACTTTTGCCTGATTAGCGATCAGGGAGTTCACCAAAGAGGCCCTTCATTCCCTGTAATCTCTCTCCAGCTGTAGGAATGCATTATCAGAATTTGGAAGGACAGAGAGGCAGCACTGGAACACAGGACTGCCAGTTCCTCCCTGACCACCAGTGGTGGATGGAGGGGAGGGTTGCCAGAAGCAGTCTGGGACACAATCAGAAGGAGAGAGATGTGAGGTCTGAGCTGGAATTCATCTGACTGGAAAGGTGTTGTTGCTTTGCAGGCTCTGATGCAGTTTTCACTGTTCTGCCTCCAGTACTCTCTCATCCAAAGGAAACTAAACTTGTTAATGCAGTCTCTGGAACTTCTCACTACTTAGGAAGTGAAACGTTTGCAACACAAAACATTCCATACTGTAATGTAGCTGGGTATTCAGACAGAGATGAATGGGATTAGGAATGGTTCAAACAATTTAAATAGGAAGAGACATTTATACAGTATTTCCAGCCTTTTTGCTAGAACAAATATCACATGACTTTAGGGCATGTCCATAAATTCCTAGTTTCTTAGAACAGTTACCTAATAAACAGGAATGTAGGAATGCCTTTAAATTATACATTCTATCAATGCAGTCCTGATCGGGATAGGGAAGAAAAGCTCATCTAGGGATGCCGAAGTGAAGCTGTGAATGTGAACAGCCCTCCACACAATAGTGAGCAACATAGATCTGCTATGCTATGTTTACCCTTAGAACTCTAAACAGCCTGTAGTCCATGAATAGGCACTGTTTGAGGAACACATCCCCTTTGCTACATTCATTTGTTAAAGTGAGTAATGGATGCAGCTGTGGAGTACCATAAAAATAGAATAAAACTTTGGAAAATAAGCACTCACCACAGAGCCAGTTGACAAGTCAGTGGGTCTGCCGCTTCCTTAAGACTAAGATTTCCTTTTGTGCACATGGACATATCAAGGTACGTACTAAGGAAGCTACAGGAAACTGACTTAGGCAACAATTCACAACTTAAGTATTATACAATCCCAAGACTGGCAGGTATAGCACGTTGATTTCAATCATTTCAGTTGCACAACAACCAAGTAATTGTCTAGCTCAGCGAAGAGAGGGTGCGAGAAAGCTCCTCCAAAAGTGAATCATAAAGCTAACACATTGCTTTATGCTTATGAAATGTGTATTGTTTTCTTTGTGGATAGATACAGCAGTCAAGTAGTCAGATCTTTTGGTGGCAAGAACTATGTAGTTCCTCCCCCATACTGATATAGCAGTGCTTAAGTAGCATTTATGTTGGTAGGAACAGAATACACTTCTCTGCATGCTCCCCAAGTACACTGGTTAAGTAGGTATACACATGCTTGCATACTAGAATATGCATGCTACCTGAAATGAAACACATTTGCACATGTGAAACTGCATGTCATTTCAGTTAATTGTTTCTAAATAAATTCAAATAAGATTTAATATTGAAGTAAATGAATCAACACTAACTTAATGAAAAATATTACTTTCTGAGTAAAAATGCTACACATTTCCACGATTCTTTCTATTTTTCCCACCTAGGTTACCGGTTTGCTAGCTTCTCAGTGGAATATTCCCATGTTTGGATTTGTTGGCTACACTGCCAAGCTGGACAACTCATTTCTTTATGATACTTACATCAATCTTGTCTCCCCTCTGGAGAGGGTGGGGGAAGTACTGTGTAAAACTCTCCAGTATTTTGGATGGAGATACGTGGGTCTCTTTGGAAACTCAAGTGATGTTTTCACTTGGGCTGAAACAGAAGAACTGTGGGCATCTGTAGAAAACCAACTCAAAATGAATTTTACAATCACTGCTAAGGTGAGATACAATACAAAAGATCAAAGCCTCCATGAGAAAAACCTCAACTATATATCATCTGTTGCCAGAAGTAAGTTAAAAAACAAACAACTAGAGTTCAAATAGTTGTATTTAAAGGCAAGTTCTGAGGTCTTTCAAGAAAAAGGGATATGTGACTGTCATTAAATAAATAAATTTACTCAGTGATCTTGTTTCTAAAAATAAGCAGTAGCAGCCACTTCAGAAGACATCATGCATTAGGAAATAAACTAAAGTTCACAGCATTAGAATGTAAAGTTGTTTATTAGCATATTTGTAATACAAAGTAAGTATGCTGGATTTGGTTCTTTTCTGAAGGATCAGTGTAATAACTGTAAAAAATTTCCAAAAGGTTTGGAACAACATATAGTTTATATGGTCAGGGTTGCCAGCAATGCTCCCTCTAAGTCGTGGAGTCTTGTGAGCAAAAATTCTACTTTGTGAGCTACTGGCCTTAAAATTGTGAGTGAGCGATCGGGCCACTGCATCCATTAGTCTGCTCTGGAGCCATCCCTTCCTGAGCGAAGGCAAAAAGGTGTGAGCCGGAGGCTAAAAAACTGTGAGCTGGCTCACACTAACTCAGCTTAGAGGGAACACTTGTTGCCAGGCCCCTGTCAGGGGCAGAGGATCCTTCCTGGCTCCCATTTCCTACCACTACTCAGAGAGGAATTTCACATTACCCTTTTTAAACCATTATTGTACCGTCATGGAATAAACCGGTACAGGGACGGCTGTTTCACACAGCCTTTCCCTTCTGGTAAGGAGCCGTCTCTGAAATGGTTTGTCATTTCAAACTGCGCCGCTTTCTTTTCCCGTCATTTCCCCCCACACACATGATCTCCCTGAGAGGTTTTTTCCCCTAAAAAACATTCTATTGGGAGCGCTATGGCACTGAAGCAAGACTAAAAATCAGAGCCATAGCGACCATTGAGATGCCTGGACTCCATTTAGATACACTGATGTCTGCTACTGCTGTCCCTTGGAAACAAGGAGCTCACTGGATACAGAGGTCAAGCACGAGGGAGGGGACCGGACAGTTTTGAAACCCAGGAAGCTTTCTGTTATGCTCAGGGTTGCCCCCAGGTCCGGAATAACCAGTAGCCGTGTTGGGGTTTTAACGAGGAAGCAAGTGCCTCAGATTTGGAAGTGCTTGAGGTTGCGCCACACCCCAGACACCTTCCTCAGAGTGATCACCTTTTCACGTTCTCTCTGTATTGGCTAGGAGATCAGTTCTGAATTCCTCCCCGGCACTCTTCCATTTCCTGTCTTTTATATCTTTCCCCCTCCCTTAGTGCCACCCCTTTCTGTGATCCCTAAACCTATAGGCTATCCCACCTGCCCATCACCGTGATCTCCTATCACATAGAGTTTCCCCTTCTATGGTCCCGCCCCCTGTATACTCAGCATTTCTAGCCTGGAACGGGGCTTGTAAGGGAGTGCCTACTTCCGGCAGAGATGTCGATACTCACTCCAGCGTTCTCGTCGGCTACAACTTTCAGGGGTAAGCCGGGGACCCTCCAACTGGCTCTTTCTTTCAACCTGGCTCTTCCCTCCCCCTTCCGTAGCTGTGGAACGCGGTTCAGACTGGACCTTTCCTCCCGCCCCTTCTCTTCTGCGCCTCTCCTGAAGCTCCGTGGACGCTGCGGGAGGGGTCTGGGTTCTCGGGAGCCCTCAGAACCACCCACCTCGCCGTCTCCGTCGGCTGCCAAAATTGTGGCCCCGGGGTCTTTGTAGCCCGGGACTCGTGGATAGCTCGGCGCGTGCCATGTCAGTCCCGCCATAGCGACCTATAAGGCCGTGGAGGAGCCCGCGGCGGGACACTTTCCTTCCTTCCTTAACTCCCACAAACCATGGACTGTGTGTGCTTGTGTGTATGTGCCTCAGTCTACACTTCCTCTAAAGCAAACTTTTTAAAAATCGACCACACATCTATCTTACCATTCACTTATGCCCCTGATCTTCCACTTAAACAAGCTGTACAATCAAGTACTTTGTATGCTGCCTCTCTAGACATGCTTGAAGTGGTAAATGCATGCCCTTTGCAGACCACTTTCTTTTCTGCCTTTGTGTCTTTTAATGGAAAAGAATGTCCATCAATAGCATTCATCTAGCATTAGTTATTAAATATTGGAATCAAAGAGGCATTGGTTACTTTGAAATTAATAGAGCCTGGAATTTCTGAAAACTGCTGGGTAGGAGGCTATTCTGGTGCTTTTTAATCAAAGCCCAAACTAGTAAAGCCCCTCCTCCTTTTTCATGCTGTGCTGGTACGTTTGTGCTTATTGCTATTTCCAGTGATTTAATCTTTAAACAGACATGATAAATACAACGTCTGCCCCAAAATTACCTTTTAAAATCCATGCTGAGAAGCAGTAGTGAACGTCAGTGTATCTAAATGGAGTCCAGGCATCTCAATGGGGCTATGGTGTTGCTTTGTAGTCCTGATTCAGCACCATAGCACTCCCAATAGAACATTCAAAACAAAAAGAGGATGATCGATCGTGCACAGGGAGAAAAAGGGCGTGAAAAGACCTGTTATCGCAGGAAGCACTACAGGGCATTTTATACAGCACCCCATAGTGCTTCAGAAGCAGTAGAAGGGATTGAAGACTGGTGGAAAGCAGTTTGAGTGAACAACGCTTCAGGCATGCTTCCCGAATGGGACAGAAGTGTTTCTGTGTGAACAGGTAAATATATTCCGACAGGGAACGGTTCCGTCTGAAATAACAGGAAAAAAAGTTAGTGAACAGTTCCTGAAACAGTTAGTGAACAGTTCCTGAAATTCCTCAGAGTGGTAAAGGATATATATATATATTTAAAAAAATGCCTATTGGGACATTTTTGACATCACTTCCAGGGAAAATTCATAAGTGACAGAAGTTTTTTCTAGGAATTGCTGTAAACTCTATAGTTTTACCACAGAGTTTCTAGTGATTTCAAGAGATGGTGATGTCAGTTCTGGGTTTTCCATCAGACCAATTTCCCACAAGCTGCTGCTCCGTGCTCGCTCTTTCCTTTGCCCCAATCGTACGTGTCAATTTCACACTTTGTGCTGCGCGGTGGCATTTTGCCCCACATCTTTGCCCGATTTCCACCGCATCTACTCAATCCTCAAAAAACAGGATTGAGTAGACACGGAGGAAATCGGGAGAAGCTGCGGGGCAAAATGCTGCTGTGCAGCACATAGTATGAAATAGACATGTAGGATTGGGGCAAAGGGAAAAGCAAGCGCGGAGCAGCGGCTTGTGGGAAATTGGTCTCACTGATGGCCGCCCACATGTCCCCTTATTATTTCATGTTAGAAGAAGAAGAAGAGATGGTTTTTATACCCCACTCTTCACTACCCAAAGAAGTCTCAGAAAGGCTTACAATCTCCTTCCCTTCCTCTCCCCACAACAGAGACCCTGTGAGGTAGATGGAGCTGAGAGAGTGCTGAGGGAGCTGTGACTGACCCAAAGTCATCCAGCTAGCTTCATGTGAAGGAGTGGGGAATCAAACCGAACTCTCCAGATTAGAGTCTCCTGCCCTTAACCACTACACCAAGCTCACTCTAATAAATTATGCCCATCTATCTTTAACAATTGTTTTAGCTACTATTGTTTCACTCATTCTGAATGGTTTTGTATGCTGATTTTTCAGATGAAATGGATATTAATTTCAACTTTTCTTTTGCAGTTATTATTTTAATCTGCAGCTCTTTGGATGCAAGGTCCATTTTATTACAGGCCAAAGAATTGGGTATGGCCAGTGGACCATATGTATTCTTTGTACTACAGCAATTTGAGGTCAGTAGCTTTGAAGCCATATTTCTTGATTTCTTGATTTAAAGAATTAAAAATATGAATGATTGATCTGTATGCCTAGAAAGAATTTGAGGGCAATTTTGACATGCAGCTGGATTAAACCACTGTAGGTTCCCAGACGAAGATTTCCTGGAGGGACTTCTCAAACCACCTAGACCAAAACTAGACATCATGTTTTAAAAGTCACAATTTCCCCACTTTCATGGGCCCCCGGAGTGAGCAGGGCCCTCAGAATTTTATCTTGCTAGCCCTCCCCCAGTTGTGGTTCTACTGGCAAGATATGATCTCAAATGCCTATTCAGCC